AAAGGGGGTTGGAGATGATCCCGCCATGCCCAACAGAGGGATAAAGATGTTTTCTCCAGTCCAAAGACTTCAGCCTTTGACAGAGCCCACAGAAATAAATGAATATCATTTTACTTTTCATATTCTGGAACATGCTGAGGGAATCACGACGAGTACAGGTTTTATTCCACTTGATTCCATCTTCCTTTTGTGGCTATTTTGTCTTTGGCTACGTGAGATACGTGTGAAGAAGAGGAGAGATGGCCCCTAAGGGGTGCTTCAGTCTACAAGGTCCCTCTGTGTCACTTCACTTTAATGGCCTACTTGCCTGGATGCAGAGACTCCTGGAAGGAAGTGGATCATGGGGGTCATGCTCATCAATGGACTCATCTGTGGATGTCATGACTGCATATGCCGTTAGGAGGCGGGGCCTAGATGAGGTCACGGGGTCACTTGGGTGCTCACCTTTGGAGGTATATTTCTCACTCTTCCTCTTCCCTTTGCTCTGCTCCTGGCCCCCATGAGGTTAGCAGTTTTGTTCCACCAGCCCCTCAACCATGATGATCTGCCTTGGAGCCAGCCAGCCATGGGCTGAAACTGTGAGCCACGATCAACCTCTGCCCTTCAAGTGGGGTATGTGAGAGACTGCTGTCTCCATCGTTCTTTAGAAAGACCCAGTGAGCTTTCTGAGCAAGGTGGAGAGCACCACAGGCCGAAGGAGGCTCCAGGCTTAATGTGGTCAGTGGGCCCGCTCCATCCTCATGGGCCGAGTAAGTACAACCCAGAGTACATCTGAATGTGCAGGGCACATTTCTGAGCCTGGACAGTGTCAGAATTCCATCATCAGAGTGAACCAGGCCCAGAAAAATCCAGCATCACATGCTGTCTCTCATATGCAGAAACAAACAAAAGGCCTCAAAGTACAAGAAAGACTATCAGGGAAGCAGTAGAGGACCCGGGAGAGGACAGGGGGAAAAGGCGGTTGAAGGGAGCTGGGTAGGATTCAAGTACCATATTTACATTTATGTAACCTTCACGGTGGAGCCCACAATTTTGTAGAATATCATGCATTAATAATTGTAGCTTATAGATGAATTCAGGGAGAGGTTGATAAAGAGGACATGTCTAAGACAGATTTAAATGAAGTGGATCATCACAAGCAGAAAAAGGACTACTGCCTCCCTAAGCCCAAAACTTTCCTGCTCTCCTCGGTACAGTGCAGTGGCGCTGAGGCTCAGTGGTGTGCAGGAGAACTGAGAAAGTATCTACAGAGTGTCTAGAACGTTATAGGTGCTCAGTCATCACTTGGCTCTATGTTCTTACAAATGGAGTGCGAAAAATAGAAAAGGGAGTAAACTATGCTAGTATTAAATGAAATTTTAAAATTTTTACTGGATAACAATAAGGAGAAAAATCTGATGCATAATTCTAATGTGGATTATATAATTTTTCTGTAAGATAGTTGCTCCCAGCCTTATTTATCATACATAAAAATTAACTGAGGTGTTCTTTAAGGGCCAGAGTTCTGCGATCCACGCTCAGATTCTCTAATGTCACTTAGGGCAGGATGTCAACAGTGGCACCCGCACTTCATAAACCCTCCCTGATCCCAATTGTTCTCATGAGTGGTCCATGTTTGAAGGACATTAAAGACCAAAATATATTTGAAGTCGTGTGTGTGAGAATTTGCAAAAGATCAGAAACCAATTCTAAAAACATCCGCTCAGAGGCCACCTCAGCAACGAGTACTGTGGGATTTGCAGCAAAGCCTCAGGCATGCTGGGCAAGAGCTCTGCCACTGAGCTACACCCCCAGCGACCACGCCTGGAATTACGAGTGCTGCATTTTGATGACAAAATCTTGCCACTATAGCGAAAGGGGAGTATTTCTCTTATGGTTGGGTTCCCTTCCATCTTTCAAACTCAAGAGGACGTTCATCAGCGCAATCCATCGTGTCCTTCACTGTGAGCAGAGGAGCTGCAGTTGCCTCCCGAAGTCGCCCTGCCTGGGCACTTGCCATTTCTGAGCTTAAGCACAGGATGTGTGTTCACAATCTCTGGCTCTTATTTTGGAAACAGTTCAGCAAATGCTGAGAAGCAAGTCTACCTGGGTTAAGCCTGCTTTTCTCTGAAACTCTGTCTGGTTTCTTAAGACTCCTGCTTCCTCCATTTCTCTATGTACCTAATCACAGGACTAAGGAATACAAGTGAATTCAGTGAGTCTGTAAGGCTCTTGGTGCATACAGAAAGCCCTACTGCTTGGTAGTCACTACCACTCTGTGGATGGAGGGTGTGTTCCCTGTGCTTAACCACCTGGCAGGCAGTGGTATATTGCCCTTTTTTTTTGCACCCACACATAGAAATGAGCTGACAGAGCTCCCACAAGGGAGCACTACAATTCAGTTTGTTTTAAGAGAGCAGAGGCTTGAATTTCCTGGGAATTGTTTTCATCTGGGGGGGACCAGCGGGGGAGGTGGATGGCTCAGCCCTCAGCCCGCCCTCAAGGCAGGGCGGGGCTGGAGGGGCATGTGTAGCGGGGAATCAAACCAATGGCCCTGTGCTTTCCCAACCTTGCCCAAACAGGCACTTTAGACCTCTAAGCTATCTTGCCAGCCCCAGACACTTGAATTTCCTACCTTACCCACTCAAAATTGTGGGACTCCAAATTTGCCACCAAACTTTATGTGGATGTCCCCTTAGAGGTGTGCCAGAGGCAGCCAGAAAATCCTTGGGAGTCTGTTATAATGAACCACACACCTGTCCCATCCTTTCATGGCCTCGCAGGCTCCTTTCAGTATTGGGATGTAGTATCTGTTCAGGTGAATCATTGGGACAGAAGTGCACAGCCTCCTGCCCGTTCCCTTGACCCTTACCTTGACCAGCTTCCCTCATGAATGACAACCAGCCCTGGCCGTCAACACCCAGGATGAGAAGGCAGATGAGGAGTCCAACTGAAAACTTTATCCTGCTGCAGGGTCAAGCAAAAAACAAAGGATGATGTGTCTGGTTTACAGTGGTGATGTTTGCACAGTCTTGCATTCAGAAAATAAACCTTGCTCAACTTTATATGTAAACACACCTTTGTGGGCACACAGATGGGACTTTAGACAGCGAAATTTCTATTTTCTTTTACCTAATGAGATCTGAGAGGCTAAGACATCACAATATTGACTATTGGTATAAGTCACTTTTTATTTGACACCCTCCTCGGCACCCCATAAAAGAAGCTCTCAGTAAGACATTTGGAGATTCTGTGACTATTGTACCTTTCAGAAATATGAGATGAGATTTAAAGAAATCCATAAATTTCTGCAGAATTACAGCTCACTAAAGTGACACAGAAGCACACCACAAAATCTACCCGAAAGAATATTCACATACTCTTTGTGTTAATGAGTGGTATGTGAAGAGTGTAAATCCTACTCTTGAGAAGAGCAGATGCAGGAAGTGCATAGAGAGAAGTGGGTGCAGCCCAAGAGTGCTGCTGCAGGGAGAGCCCCTCCCAAGGGTATGTGTTGGAAAGTTGTGCATCTCACCTTGGGCCGTGTGATCTGCTGAGGTCGGGTGAAGCTACTTGCCCATGCTGCCTGCTGGGCAGGTGAGGCTGGCGTTCTATATAGCCACACTGCTCATGAGCGGACCCCTCTGCTCTCTTGCATAATCCCTCTTGTCCAAGACTCAGCACCCAGAGCTGCAGGGGTTTTGCCCCAACACAATCTAATTTTCCCAAATTGTGCAATGTGGCAACTTAGAGACATAGAGCAGGTTAGGATTTTCTGCCCAATTCCAGGCTTATTGTCAATTGGAAAAGGTTTCCTCTCTCTACACAATGTTTTACTCCAATTTTTTTTTTTAATGTCTGATTTGCTAGAAAGGCTAGTCAATATTGGGAAAAGAGATTTGGTTATGTAAAGAATGTGGAAGTACAGCATAAGTAAATAGGTTGAGCTAACTAATTACATGGCAAGGAACAGATCATAATGTTTCTAGAACCTCAGGCCAGAGTAGCTAGAAAGGCAGACAACTCAGAAAAAGAGAACTTTCAGTTACCATGTTCAGGGACCCAGGACTGGGCAAAGGATTCTGCACACCGAAGTGGATTCATGATCAGGCGTATGGACAGTCACGTGATTGGTTGAATTTTTGAGGCTGCTGTTCTCCCAGAATGTTGAACAATAGCATAGGAAGTAGCTATGAGTCATGCAGAAATGGTCTATGTTAAGATGAGCAGAAAATAGCCCTCTACCCGCTGGATTGTCTGATTTGTACACACAGGAAAAAAGCAGAGCGAGCTGGAAAAGCAGAAAAACAAGAGTGTGCTTTACTCTGAGTTTAGGGAGACTCCTAGGCAGAAGCTTCATGCAGATGCTGGGCAGAGGGTAGAATCCAGGGTCCATTCACCTGTCCTATCCCTGCCTCATCATCCAACAAGAAGAAAGGTATTATCAGCATAATCACCTGCCTGGCAAGATCCTGAGTTTGATCCTTGGTTAAAAAAAAAAGAAGAAGAAAGCATCCAAAAGAAAAAAATTCATCAGACTTTCACAAGAGAGCACATTGGCCAAGCATTGGCCGTGACTCATCCACATGGCTGCACTGACAAAGGTTCTACAATCTGAGGTACAGGATCTCAGGATAAATCCTGAGGGCATTTCACTGACCTTCTCAGACCAAAAAGCTACAACTCTTGTTGCATAGGTCCTGCTTTACCTTAGTCTTAACCATCCAGTAGAAAAGTATGAAGACGAAATATAGGAAATAAAGCCATGCTGTTAAGTTGAGCTGTGGGGGACTCAGGTCAATAATTTCTGACATTGCCAGTTAAACAGAAGACCCAATGCTATTATGGGCTACTGGACTCTTTTAGAATATTTTGCTGAGTTTACACACCTATAATATTCAATAACGGAACTTAAAAAAAAATGGGGTATAACTATGAATGTCCATTTTGTATCTGTGTATTCAAAGTGGTTGGGATAGATATATAGTTGCATTCTCTTAATGAATAGAATGATTTGTTCTAATGGTGTTTGTAAATAGGATCACAAGTCTGCATCTTGTATAGCAATTAATCACTAAGAAGAATATATGCAGTGTATTATTTGTTGAAACTGTACTTCCGATTTGATTTGAAACTGTCTAATTGCTATCTGTTTATCAATAAAACTTTGAAAAAAAAAAGAAAAAAATTCAAAGACTACTGGTGTTCCTTACAGAGGGAGGAATCAGTGTAAAAGAAAGGTAGCTCACAACATGCTAGATAGTAGAAGAGCAGAGTTTTTGTCCCCTGCAATGAATGAATCCCAAGGAAAAAAGGAGGTCAGGAGTAGAAAAGAAAGATTGCTCCTGAGAGACAAGAGGTGTCCCAGAAGCACATTGCCACCAAGGCCCTTTGGCAGGGATAATACACACAACAAGGTCACGATGTGGGTAGAATGTGGGTCAAATTACAATCAACCTATGGATTACAATTATAGATGTTTAGCTAATATTGATCCAGTAAGGAAGTCAGGCACATAGCAAGGGTCTGTGGAAAGAACAAAGGCATTTTGGGAACAGATGGGCTAGGTGCTCTGGTCACCGACCCGGGAGACTGATGTCTGTCTGGATTTCCTGGGCCGGGAGATAGCAGTCACGTTGCTGTTCACCTCAGGCAGCCATGCACCCTGGGTGTTGCATTTATACCTTGAGGCCTGGCCTTCAGCGCGTGCACTTCCGGCCTCACTTGTACTGCGTCTCTCTCCTGCAGACTCCTTCACGGGCCTAGTCTGGTCTGACAGCCTCATTATTTCCACCTAACCTAGCTGCCTGTGATGGAATGATGTGTGTGTCACAAGGCGGAGATGATGAGGGAGGACAGCAGACCTGGTCCTCTCGCGGTGGAGCCTGATGGTTGGATGCCGTTTATTTTACAGTGCCTTTACAAGTCCTCCTCTGTTTACTTTTTGCTCAGTTTTGAGGGCACTCGAGTGCCTGCTCTGGCTAGGCCTGGTGTTGATTCTATCAAGGGTAGCTGGATGTCTGAGCCTGAACTGTAAGCAGTACTGTGATCTAGAATTCCAAACTTCCTCCTGCTGAGCACAGACCAACATGCTCCTTAGCTCATGATTGGCACAGAAATGGCAGAATATGCAGATGCCAGCCCCAAAAGTCCAGGAGCTGGGTTTGCTTTCAAGAAGAAATAAGAGGCTGGGGGGCCTGGGAGAGAGCTCAGTGGCATGAGAACCTGCCCGGTAAGCGCAACCTCCTCAGATCAATCTGTGGTACAGACAGACAGACAAACAAAGAAACAAGAAATTAGAGGATGGTGTAGAATGGTGGGAAATTAGAAAATTAATAGCGAGCTCTATATTGTCCCTGTGCTGCCCTCTGTTGCTTACTCTAAAAAACCCTTGCCTTTCTGTAAGCCAGAGATAGTGACTTCAGGCCCCTCCATCTCTTTGGAGCTAGCTTTGAATAAATTCTTTTTACTTTTTACTGAAATGTTTGGGTTTTTTACCCTTTGATTTGGCCAGTGGTGAGCAGAGGAGCCTGTGCATGTGAGGCTGAGCTGCCTGTAACAGCATCCTGCTACCTGTTGTAGTCTCTTGGACTATTCAGTGCTGGAACCTTCTTATTTTAAAATACTTTATTTTAATTTTATTTATTTATTTTTTTTGTTGGAACTGGGATTGGCCTCAGGCCCTTGCACTTGCCAAGCAGGCACTTATTCTACTGAGGTATCTCCCTAGCCCTCCCTTTTTTTTTTTTTTTTAAAAAATTATTTTTAATTTTATTTCAGTGCTGGTACCTTCTTCCTCACTTTTCGATTATTCAACTCATTGTCTCATTTAGGAAAATGATTAGAAAAGAATAATATAAAAGTTTTACAAGTCAGGAGAATTTTTTTTCTGGGAAATTCTGGGAAACATCGAATGTTCTTCTTGTTATTTATTTTGCTCTGCCTTTGGCAGAGAAATGCACAGTTCTGTGCAGGCCATACTTAGAGCAATTGGCAGTGCTGCACCTGGCACAAGAAACCCCTTGATGTGTTGTCATGCACAAGCCTGGGGTCTCTACTGTTGTCTGCCTCACCCTCATTGTTCCTTACAGCTACCTGGCCCACATCCTCCTTGGATGAATACAACCTAAGCAGCTATACTTGGAATCTTATTGGGTGAACACAGTTTTGACCCACATTGTGCCCTCTCAAAAACTTCCTTTGAGAAGTGGGCTCCTTGGCAACCTGCTTTGGGGTCCTCTCCCAGCTCTCAGGAACTAAAATCTCTCTCAACTGAGTTTTCCTCCTCTTAACCTCCATTGTTCTTTGGAATTCATTCTTCAATTTTGGGAATAGGAACTCAGCTTATTGACATCTAGCAGGTTAGGACTTACAATATTATTTCCTCTATATCAGTTTTACATTCAAAACTTAGTGAGTTTGAAGACTAAATTAGTGACCATTCTAACAGTCACAGAAAACCAGGTTGTTTGAGAGGCTTACAAGACATTTTCCCCCTACATTCCCCCAATGTAAGATGAAGAGGACAACATCAAGGCTTAATTACATTAAAAAATAAAAATTGAAAAGAAAAATTCCATGACTATCATGTCTACAAAGTGCAACTGTGTGTCTGGGAGTGTCTCAGGTTGAGCTCTTCTATCCAAAGCACCATAAAAATTAAGTAAATGAATAAAAATAAAAGGGCGTCTGAGACCTAAGTTCCAGTGTAACCAGCAGCTGGGAAGAACCATGGACAGCTCCCCAAATATAAACTAAGGCCTGTGCAGAATTGCCTTGAGGACTGACCAGCGCTGACGTGCCTCACATTCATGATGAAGACAGGGAAAGCTCTAAATTTCAGCTCTTGTCTCATTGCTATTTGTTTCTCAATAAAATTATGGGGAAAAAAGGCTAAATGAGAAAAAAAAATCTGAAAAAAATTCAGCTCTTCCAGGTTATCCCAGAAAATGGATGATGATCTTACACTTTCCAGACACAGAAAGAGAAATTGTAATCTCATTACCAAAGCACCATTGTTAACACATTAATAAGTACAATTGTAGATCAGAATTACAGCTTTTAAAAATTATGCTTTAATTTTACATGCATAAAACAAACTTTTCTGAAGTTTGAGCGTCTTTCAATATTCCTTTCTTGAAAATAACTGCTGCAAAACTGCTTATAGTGCAGAAAACCTTCTGTGCTTCTTACACCTTTCTTTTTTCTTCAGGCATTAAGGAGTATGCAGTTATTAATGCCAAGAGAAAATATCTTATTTCAGTGTCTGAAAAAATTTTTAAATACCAAGTCAAGTTGTTAATTATACACTTGCATTTTCTTCCCTATAAAATACATGCACAGACTATATATGTATATATATTTAACTTTTATTAAAATTTTAATTTAATTGCCACATAATTACAAACATTTACGGAGCATGATGCATATGCATTGTAAAATGACTGTATGAAGCTAATTGATATACTCATTGCCACACATAATTATCATTTTTTGTCATGAGAATGATAAAAATCTATCTTTTTAGAAATTTTGGCATATAAAACATGGATTTAAAAAACAAGGAAAGTAGGGCTGGCAAGATAGGTCAATGGATGAAGGCACCTGCTTAGGCAGACGCAGGGACCAGGGTTCTAT